AGGAAAGGAAAATTGCTGATAAAAATTAAAATACACGTAAAATTCATATGATAGCCATGCTTAAGTGCATAGACAGTCACGGTTAAGTGAGTGATGATGTCATTCTGAAAATTACTGAACTAATTTTCACGCGGAACAGCTCCTGTTAGCAGTGACAGTCAGCCAGTTAATCCACGTGGATGATGCGGTATGTTTTTCCGCGTTTTGGACTTCAGGGTGAGAGCTGCATTTTAAGCTTTCTATTGCATCCAAATGTTTTCTGGACGTTTCGCATGTTATGAGATGCAAAATACCTTCTTCTTTTCACCCATGCAAATATTTAAGATACCCTATTGACAGTGATTGCTCTGCTGAGACGTTTTATACCGTCCAGTGGTACGAATCAGAAGAACATAGCATATTCAACAAAATGTAATATATTGGTGCGTCAGAATTTGAATCAGTTACCGACGTATCTCTATAGTCTGCATCATATAGGCATTGTGGCATGGTGTCATACTGTCTAGGAGGTCTGCTCCAAATTCCGGAGGTGCCGGGTTCGATTCCGCTTGAGGGCTATCTGTCATATTTAAGAGTTCTCTTGAGCCAGGAATTTACTACGTACTGCTTCAGACCAGGGTTGCTCAGTGGGTAGGGCGTCGAACGCAAAATCGACAGGTCCCAAGTTCATGCTCCAGTCAGGGTCATTCGACTTTTATCCTTCAGAGGTTAATAAAAGGTTACCATTCTGTAAGCAGGAAAGTGAAGACTACACGCTGAACTTACCACATGTCTCTAGACTTTACTTTAATATAAGGCACTCCTGGCTGATGGCATACAAACGGAAATCAGCATCTCAGCATCATCTTCATGAAAAAAACGCCAAAATTGTCCAATCATGAAAGTGATGGAAGAACGACATTCCAGCAATGACAATGTCGTTGTCTATGACATGTCTCTATGACTTTCCTTCTATTTCTTGTTATGGGGACAGGCTCGACTAATCATGCTGCAGCTGTCGATGGTTCGTAAACCGATATGTATTTAATAAACTTCATTTTGCCTTTTCTCGACGTGACTATCATGACTGTCGTCAAGGTATTGCACGCAGGCGAACAGAATGCAGTCGCAGTTCTTTACTGATTTTTGACACCGTCTGCGACTGCTCTCCACTAATTGCTTGCAGTGTGATTGCGAATGGGACAGTCAGGTTCTTACTGGTAAGTGGCTAACTCCCAAATTTCAGGAA